TAGAACGCAAGAGGCGGTTTTTTAGACAAAATTTTGAGTTATTAGCGATTTTTGAAAAATACTACATACAAAAATTTCCATAAAAATCTGTGAAATACATCATACATAAGTTTTTATGCTACCATTATCGCTATAATTTTATAATTCGATGCAGTTATGTTTGAAACAAACACTCTTGATCATGTATTCTCATTTTAGGGCGACAAAATTACAAAACAAAAGATCAATTCGACTAAGGCAGTTTCTTCATGATACTATTCATATGTTCTCAATGTAGGGTTGTTAATTGGTACCATACGCTGGAACATTCCAGCCCAGGCTGGAGTGAGTTATCAAATGGTTTAAACAGAATATTCAACCCAGTTTGTTAAACTAAAGACAAAACTGGAATATTATATTACAGTATTAGAACTTAGTAGTTCAAATTGGTTTTGAACAAAATACTCCAGAGCAACCCGGTTTAAGGTTGGAGTGGGTTGAGATTTTAAGAATTATATAATAACCCGGAGCAAAGCTATTTTTTATAAACCGGGTTGCTCCATATAGAGCGACCTGGAGTAAAACCTGGGTTGCTCCATATGGAGTGACCTGGAGTTAGTGATATGAGTCAAAAATCGATTAGTCGTTTAGTTGGCGGAGTTGACAACTAATCGATTAATAATTATAATTGATTAATAATTATAATTTTGACCCAATTAACCAACTAATCGATTAACCAATTAACTATTATTCGATTAATCGATTAATTGATTAGTTGCTTTTACATTAATTAGCTTTTTAATAAAATTTTTATCAGATTTATATTCATAAATTAGGTCAACTAAACAATTAATCGGTTAATCGATTAATCAACTAAATCGATTAGTTAAATAATAATCGAGACTTTTAAAAAATTTTCAACTAATTAATCGATTACATTTTTTGCTCTGATTCATAACACTACCTGGAGCAAAACATCGATTGCACCATATAGAGTGGCATGGAGCAGCATAGTGGTCTTTAAATCCAATTGGCTAATTATTGAAATGTATCGTCACACATACACCGCATATCTGATATCTGATATATTATCTGACTTTAAACGAAATGTCCAGGAGGACCGAATATATATTCAGAAACTACACCTTTCGCTCTGTATACTCAAAATAATCACGAAATGGATGAATAATTAAGAGTGAGCGTTTTTATAGGTCTATTAGCCAATCGGAATGAAGCCGCCTATGCTTATATGGAGTAATCTGGAGCAAAACACATATGGAGTGGTCTGGAGCAAAATTACTCTTATAACTCGGAACATTAACCCGGAGCATTAACCTGGAGCATAACCCGGGTTGGTCTGCTCCATCTAATTTTAACCCAACCCACTCCACTCCACTTCATTAACAACCCTATCTAGATGCATCTTCGTAAAGTGTTCATTAAATTGCATGCCATTTTTCGGTCTAAAGCAAATAAAAACAAATGCATCTCACTAAGCGCAAGTCTTTGCAATTGTTTACCAATGGTCTGGAGAAATGTGCTTGTACTTAATTGTCGACATTATTTTACTAATTTTATTATAAATGCCTTTTAATCATTATTAATATATCAATAATTATTATCAAATGTAGAATTATCAAATATACCCTTCGTTATATATATAATACGTTGAAAAATCATTTTTCGGATTTTTTGAATTCATAAAAGTGAGGCCTAAATAAAGTAAAAAGTTTTTAATACCTGCGTAAAAATTTTTTCAAATTAT